ACAACAACAACAATAATAATAATATTTAAAATAATAATATATAATAATAATATTTATAATAATAATAATAGCAACAACAGTAATGGTAATAATAATATTAATAAAAATATTAATAATTTAAACGTCAAATAGGAGCATTGTCATGATCGAAAAAGCTTGAAAATAATACATGAATCATCGAATCTTCTTGGGTTAGCAAACAATGGAAAAGATAGAGAAGATGCCTTTTGTTGTGTTATAATTACACACACATTCACAAGCACATACACACACATACATACGCATACATACATACATACACACATACATACGCACACATATACACACACGCACACTGACATACTTATAATAAATGAATGAGTGAATGAATGAATGAATGAATGAATGAATGAATGAATGAATGAATGAATGAATGAATGAATGAATGAATGAATGTATGAATGAATGAATGTATGAATGAATGAATGAATGAATGAATGAATGAATGAATGAATGAATGAATGAATGAATGAATGAATGAATGAATGAATGAATGAATGAATGAATGAATGAATGAATGATTTAATTAATAAATTTAATTAATAAATTTAATTAATTAATGAGTGATTGAATTAATTAATTTAATGAATGAATGAATACATAAATAATTATATTTTTACAATATTCTATAAATTCTACCGAATGTTTGGCGTTAATATGCCTGTAGTTCGTTTTTTCCATTTTTCTCACTAAAGTTTTTTGGTGAACATTTATTTTATTAAAATTCAAAATAAATTTATTTTCCGAATTCATGCTGCAAATACAAAGGCCATATTACGATTCCGAATGAATCATCATCAGTGCAAGTTGAAAATAAGTTTATTTTGAATTTTAATGAACTAAACGAACTATATCAACTATATATAACTTGTATTTAATAGATATTATACATATTAAAAAATATATATTTTATACATAATAAAAAAAATATATATATAGTACATAAAATATATTATATCTATAATATATATAGTAAATATATATATATATATATATTATAATATATATAGTAAATATATATATATATATTATAATATATATATACATATATATATATATATATATATATATATATATATATATTATAAATACGTAATATAAGCGTTACTTATAATAGAACGTAATAGAATGTAATGAAGAAATAAGGAAGAATATAGCACGTATAAAGGACCAGGTTCAATCAATTTGAACTTCTGAAATTATTAAGGTGAGTATCGGTTGTTTTTCCTCTTTTAAAAGTTTAAATGTTAAATGCGAAATATATGTACGTAAAATTGCCTTATTTTATTAGGAAGTTTGTCAATCAATATGACAATGATAATAATAATAATATTAATTGGGAAATAATTTATGAACGTGTTTGTTGTTGCAAATGTGTGGAATGGTTCAAAGTTGTAAGATTGAAATAACCCACGTGGCCTTCAGTTGCTGCGAACATCAAACATCATCATTCCCTCATTCCATACACTTCGAAATGTTTCAAACCACCTCAAATTCTCTCACTTCTTCGACCAGCACTTCAACATTACCATGACCACTACCACCACACCACAACACTACCGTCCATTAGACTTCTTTTAAACGCTCAGGTTTACATTAACAAAACTTCTTTCGCGTTAGAACCTGGTTCGCGCTGCATAACTGTTTATCGGCACTGTAGTGTTCTGAGAAACCAGCATCCCCTTCGCATGTAACAACACAAATGGTGGTTGTTGGACTGATGTGATTGGGCAAGAGAATGTTAACAATTAAACCACTAATTAAAATTTCAACTCAACTTTATTTTGACATTTTATTTCAGAGAAATTTGATGAGTGTTTCTTGCTTCCGCTCCAGAAGTTGGAGTGTCAATTCTCATTGACGTCATTATCTTTTCCTACAACAACTGGAGGCATGCTGAAAATGTTGAAATTAATGTTGCCAACTTTGCTGTTGATGGCACTTCTCCAAGCCTCAACAAGTTCTACAACTCTCGAAGATGAAAGATTTATCTGTGGCCTGCAGTTGGTGGAATCAAGTGTCTACCAGCCTTACTCCGGGTACGTGGTTGGATGGTGCTATGGTGGAATGGGGTTTGATGCTGTTTATGTCGTGTCGTTTACACGTTATTACAAATTTTATTTTGTTTCGGCGAGTTAAAGCGCAATTTTTGAAAATGACATTACAGTAGAGTTAAAAACTTTGCATATAGGATGGAGTGTAGAATCAGGAAGACCATTATAGAGCGAGTTACAATAATCAATCTTAGACAAAACTAAAGAAGTAACAAGTTAAATAATTTTGTATTCAGAGGCAAATTTCCAAATTTTTATTTTAAAGAATATTGGAGGCATTCATGTTTATTGTAGGAAAGTATATTTAGCACTTTTTTTTCTAATCAAATTTGCTTTCTGACCGGATTCAAAAACATTAGATGCAAAATTGAAAATAAAATTCCGCATCTTTCGAGTCTGAAAGAAAAAATATGTAAATAAGAGAAAACTATCAAATATGAAAATTTAGAAGATGTTGGACTTCGTTAACAGAGCTACATAAATAGATAGTAAAAAATAATCAAAAAGTTGTCACCCTCACACAGAAACAGGGCTGCAATGGTGAATCTGAAAAACACTTTACTCTCCATTGCGTATTTGGCCAATTTGACGCATTGGTGTAGGAGCACCTGCGATTGCAGCGAAACTGACAAGAAAGACCTCTATACAAAGGAGTAAGCATATTTCTAATATAGTTTTTATCAAACCTTGATAAGCCTAATGACACATCCACATCAAAACATGTATACAACTACGAATGCATCAAAACAAACTCCAAATCCAACCCAGGTACCCCTTTCCAATCACTTGCAAAACTTTAATGAAAATAGAGACGCACATTTTGTGCCGCTGTGAGGATGGATACGAGCAGAACAGATACAATGTCTGCGTCCCAATAGGTTGGTTCAGTTTTTTTTATCAGTTGGTTTGTGCTGTTTTATATTATACAGAACAGTTTACAATTAACATTCTACATTAACTAAATTACATTTAAATACTTGCCGTTTTTTTAAATCTGGGAATGTATTAATTAAAAACAAGATGTCGAATTTGAAGACTAATTATTACAACGATGGCAATTTTTTATAATTTATATTAGTTTATGATAATAAATTAAAATTAGTACAAAAAATTTAAGATAACAAGATTTAAGACAAAAGTATTTTTGAGTATGAATGGCAGGAACATAATTTAAGTTTGCTTGAAATCTTTAATCGATTTCAAATGAACTCAACCCATTTATTTCTAATTAATGCATCCGTAGAACCCATAAAGCTTTTGGACCCCTTATTGGATTTGACCCCTCTACAGACAACCACCCAAGCTGTCCTGTTCCCACCCCTGCCTGCTTCGATGATGTCACCGCTCGTAATCGGCCTGATCATTTTGGGAATTCTGCTGCTGCTACTTCTCTGCCTGCTCATCCTTCTGCTCTGTCTCTGCTGTCGTAAAAGGAAGAAAAAGGAAGAGAAGAAGGACCCGGAGAAGAAGGTGGAAATGCCAGACCTGCCTAAGAATGACTATTCCTATCTTCCACAAGTTTTCAAGGTGACCGTTGAAAAGGAAAGTGACGATTACGACTTTTTGAAGACAGATTTTGACTTGAAAGTGGCAGGAGCTGACGACGGAGGTTATGCCAAAATAGGCACGGGAAAAGGAGAGCCAGACGACAAATTGAAGTTGGAAGTTGGAAATAGTGAGAAAAGTGGGAAGAAAGTTGAAGTTGCTGGCAACATATACTCCGAAGAGCCAGGAGTTGCCGATGGTCCTAAAAAAAAAGGCACTGTGGTTCATATCGCGGTTGGTGAGAAGGAGGAGGAGGAGGCCACAGACTACATTTACAGTGAGATCAAATGTTAGGTGGGGCACGAAAGATCAGGGATAATATATTTTGCAAAGCAAAAACCTCTAATATTCAAAGTAATATATATATATATATAGTATATATAATATATATATACATATATAAGTTATATATATATATATATATATACGATGTAATTTTTATATTTTATTTTACAAAAACTAACTTCTCTAACACATTATTTGCCATATCAATCAACCTAACACTAACCTTATTTACTGATACACACACGCCACACACACACAATTTAAATATACTTATTATTGTTTGTTTTATTTAACCACATAAGCACCAATGCCAGAGACTAACATTCGTCCTTGTGACTAGCATTTACAAGCTCCGCTACTTCTTCAGCTTAGCTAGCTAGATTCTTTTTTTCTAACCCAACTTAGCTATATATTATTAGCCATATATATGATCATATTCATACTTATATAATGACCGAGCTGATTGACTGGAAACTTACACACACACACACACACACACACACACACACACACACACACACAAACAAACACACACATATATTATATAAACGTTTATACTAATTATTCTTTCAATCCATTCTTGTACTGAATTATACATTTTCAGACTGAGGGCGATTTTGTAATGGGAGGACGACGATGATAATGATATGGGAAGTGGGGTGAATGGATGGATGGGTGGATGATGAAGAAATGAATGAGATAAAGTTAAACAAAGATTGATAGAAGGAAAGATGATTGTTGCGACACAAACTTGATGAATGGTGGAATGCGAATGAATGAATGCATGAGAAGAACAGACATCACGTGAACATTTCATTTAAATCAAGTAATGAACACAAAACTAACGCCAAATATATTTTATTTGATGGAAAAATTATTTGAAAAAATAATTTAATTCATCTATTGAGAATATTTCTCCAAAAAGCCTGGAGAATGAAACATAATTATACATTTACAACATAATAAACCATTATTAACCCTAACAAATGGTCAACAACTTAAGCAGCGAAACTAACGACAAATATATTTTATTTCTTGGGTTTCATTTCATACAAGGGTTCAGGCAGAGGTAGAGATGGAAGTTAATTAATTAATTAACTAATTAATTAATTAAATCACGATTAAAACTTTACTCTTCCTCTCCATAATAACTGTTTATTATTTAAAAAAAAATAATTTCATTCTTTAAATCAAAATATGAAAAAATATCATTGAAGAATTTTCACAACGAACTACCAACCGATCCATCGAATGACATCCAAGTTAATATTTAAAAAAAATTATTACATGAAATGGCGGGCATAAGTTTAAAACAAAAACAAATTCAATCGCTTATCAAAACCACTAATTAGTTAATTACTGACAACCTACCAACCACAGCTTGTCGATCGTCAACTGCCAGTCATTCACAGCCAAACAACGAACATCAACCACCAATCCTTAATAACCAGCCACCAACCACCAATCCTTAATAACCAGCCACCAATCATTGATAACCAACCGCCAATCATCAATCGCCAGCCATCAGTCGACAGCCAATCTCAGATGAAGATATAACAACAACCTAACAAAAACTTGAAACATCAGAAACAGAAGAGAAATCAAACTATTTATAATCAATTCGATTTTAAACGAAATGGAAATAAGAATGAAATAAAGAACGGAAACGATAATAATCTCTGTGGCTTGCAACGCCACTCTCCTTACCGCGCTGTCGCCAGGTCAGAATCATTACAGCAGCTGTCGTTGCTTCAGCAGTGGCTGCAGCAGCTGTTGTTGTTACAATTTCTTAACGTCACGAATATCTACACTCAATAATGTCCAATAACGACTTACTTTTACGGTAAGATGGTTCGCTGGACAGCTTATGCGTATATGCATGTGCTCAAATGAGAAGATTCACATGTGCCAACAACCATAAACCCAAACAGGTGAACTGAAAGAACGAACTTCTCCGTATCACTACAATCATATGACATACATAAATACATACATATATACATGCATACATACAAACATATACAAACATACATACAAACATATACATACGCATGTGCAGACATAAGCGTATACATACAGACATTACTCCCAACAAATACACCCAACAAACCATCAGACGACAACAATATTCATAATAAAAACAACACAACAATGAAAAACTCGTTGCAATATGAAGGTGACAACAATGGTGTTGACGATGGTGATGATGAAGATAAGGAAGATGATGATGACGATGATGATGATGGTGGAGAAGATGATGGTGACGATGGTGGTAAAGATGATGATGAAGATGGTGGTGAAGATGATGATGAAGATGGTGGTGAAGATGATGATGAAGATGGTGGTGAAGATGATGATGAAGATGATGGTGAAGATGATGACAGAACACTCTCCACGTGTGATTCAATTCGACAAGTCGTAGGCTTCCATTCAAGTCAGTCTCATTAATTTATTTAGGTCAGGTCGTTTGATTAATTTGGGTCAGATTACTAGATTAATTTAGGTCTGATTTTTAAAATAAGTGACGATATTAATAAAGACAAAGATGGGTTATTTCCCAGACCCTCACCGGTCGAAATCAAAATTCAAACACACACACACACACAAAAACACATGGAAAAAGATGCACGTACAGACAAATAAAAAAACACAAACATCTAAAGCCACGTACCTGTACAGACGCATGCAAACGTCCAAATAATGCACACGCACATGCACACACACTCAACGCTTCAAGTCAAATCACGGACGAGAGGTGATTCACATTGCAAAAAAATCACAAAAACATAATCAACATGTATGTACTCCTTTATAAACATATTCAAACACATACCAAATAAAGTACTATATATATATATATATACACACACACACACACACACACACACACACACACACACACACACACATATATATATATATATATATATATATATATATATATATATATACATAACATACACTGAATGAATTGATTCAGCGGAATCAACAAGGTCCAAAGAACTGAAATCATCAATAATGCTCATGCACGTTAACAAAATAAAAACTGCTCGCATTGGATAGAAATAATAAATATGCTGGTGAGAGATGTCATTGACCTCCACCCACATCAATGAAACTCCTCCCATAACGGCGTAACTCTATTCACATCAACATGACTCCTCCCACATTACCGTAACTCCGCCCACAATAACTGCCAATCAAACCCATTCCCGCGGATTTTTCAGGACTTGCAGCAACTTTTCTTCCTTGGAGCCAGGAGCGGGACTGTGCATGTACTCCCATTTCTGGGGAGGATGGATTGTGTGGGGGAGGTGGTGATGATGATGATGAGGTGGAAGTGGTGATGATGATGATGAGGTGGAAGTGGTGATGATGATGATGATGAGTGGCGTTGGTAGTATTGCTGATGATGACGAAGATGACAGTACAATTAGCAGTGAATGATGAAGCAACGGATGACTGACGCATGAACATTTCAACGTAGATTGACGATCAATCAGGTAGCAGTGCGAGCAGAACTCCACCAGGGGGGGGGAACAAATGAGAACTTACGGCCAAGAGAGGCAGTGACATGAGGATGCTTTCAATCCGGGCCTCAGGGGTGACCAGGCCAAACTTGGTCCCACGATCATACACCAGGTTGAACTCCACATACCTGCCCCTCCTCAACAACTGCCACTGCCTGTGGGGGAGGGGTTCAGGGATGATGACTTGCATTTTAAGAAGTCAGCCACTTTTATGTGAGAAATGTAATCTATCAGGTCCCATCAGCATTGTAACCATCACGTTCGCCATCATTCTCATAGCTATCGTCATCAACATCACTCTCAACTTCATAATCATCATCATTACCATTGCCACCACCATCGTCGTCATCACCACCATCGTCATCATCATCGGCATCGGAACAGACCTGTCAGCATGTGTGTAAGGTTCATTCTTATGCTTCTTGACGATGGGGATGTAGGCGGGTATCACAGACTCCGCACACTCCTGCAGTACAAACAACAATCAATTAACCATTATGATGGCTCAGACGGTAGGAAAGCTACTTTTCACAGTTGCGTGGCGACCTGGTTCGAATGCACATAAACTCTCACATAATTTACCGGACGAGCTTCTCAAGTAAGCAGCAGGCAGGATTGTTGTTGCGGTGGCTTGTGGGATTGTTGATGAGTTGAGCGCTTCATAGAAACTCCGCTAATTAATAACGACGACACCGACAACATAATGAACTTAATCACTAAAAAAGATGCACGAGTGACAGAAGTAACGAAGGCGAACCTTAATGAACTTGAAGCAGTGTTCTCTGTCGGGACCATCGAGGTCGTCGAAGAAAATCCCGCCCACACCACGTGCCTCACCTAACGACAAGCAGCATCAAAAAAATATTAAAAATTTTGAACAGGAACAGCTGCAGATGAGTCGACAACAAAAAAACATAATATATGTATAATCGACAGAAAAAAAAAAATTATGCCACCATGAACACGACAGCCACAAGATCAAAGAGTGAGCCAACCTTCGTACCCCCACCCTCATTCCCCCATAACCCCAGTCACCTCGATACGCAATGTAAAAGTACTGGTCACACCACTTCTTGAACGTCTGGTAGTAAGATGCGTCGGATTGGTCACACGCATTCTTCAAGGTCAGGTGGAAATTTCTCGCGTCCTTCATGATTGGTACAAAAGAGGAAATGGTGAAAGAAAGAGAGAGAGAGAGAGAGAGAGAGAGAGAGAGAGAGAGAGAGAAAGAGAGAATAGAAAAAGGTGAAAAAGGTATGAACGCAAGAAAGATTGTTTGGAAGTACTCATCGCAATATAATAAAACATGTCAATCATCTTATCTATCCAACTTCATCTCCACCACGCCAACCTAACGTCAAACATCAACCAGCCACCATCAGACATACACCCACAGAACCCCACCAACAAACCTCCTCATCGAGGATATACGGGGTAAGATCAGTGCCTCCACCAAACCACCAAATCGTCTTGCCGCTATTTTTGTCGTACACCTCAAAATATCGGTAGTTGAAGTGCAGTGTCGGCACTTTGGGGTTTCTCTGGAGGTGGCATTTATGATCGTGACTAACAAAGGGAGTGAATATTCAAGGGGTTACGACAATATAATGGTCAATTTTCGAACTATCTTGTTACTTATGCAATTACGGTCACACAAAACAATTTTGTCCAGCCAGTTCCTATCTCAGGCATGAGAATAGGAGGAATGAAATTTAGAAAACTGTCTGTTACTTTCGGAAACTAATTTAAACGCCACAATTTTTACGGACCTACTGAAAGCATCTTTATCTATTTTTTCATTTATTTATTTACAAACGCACACACGCACACACACACACACCATAACTGTTTCAGTAATGAATTATTAAATAATAACTGATCTTTTTCCATGTTAATAGCAGAATTGACACCTGTAACATGCAACCCACCGGGCGTGTGTAACAATAACCCCATATAAGAGTCCGTTTGTTACATTAGGGAACCCATATAATTTTTTATTTTTTTTTCATTCATGTTAAATATATAAATCAGCTTTAAATGTTTTAACAGGTGCTTGAAACATACAAAAAGTAAAGATATAGCTTTCCTAAGAACAACAGATTCATAGCAAGATTTATTAAAGTCGTAACGTACACAAACGGCTCCCATAAAAGATAAAAATACGCATTAAATATTATGTATTTATGTATATGTATATATGTATATATGTATATATATATGTATATATAAATATATGTACACAATATATATATATATATATACATATATATATATATATATATATATATATTGTATTTTTCAACCAAATTTTTATTCCGAAATGAAGAAATTCACTTCTATTGGTAAGTTATTATACACAGTTTAGATTGTTTTTTTTTTTCAGAAAATAATTATTGGATATTTCAAACTACCCTATATAAAAGTCTAACTATATAATAACTAATATAAAATTAATTTTCCAGTGCGTAATGGTGCAAGAGGCCAGCGGGAAGTGGGGGTTTGGGAGTTTCCGAAAGGAAAGATCGAAAAAGGTGAAGAGCTTGTTGATTGCACTAAGTTAGTTACATTTTAATTTGATAACTTTATATTATTATTTGTAATAAAATATACCAAAAAATAATTAACATCTCAATATTAACTTAATTAGTGTAAATTAAAATTATGAAACATTTAATATTTTAAATAATGTAAATGCAGTGTTGGGGAGTAACAAATTACTAGTAACAAAATTACTGTAACAAATTACTTTTTCCAGTAACAAATAATTGTAACAGATTACTTTTTGTGCAGGGTAGCAAGTAACAGTAACAAATTATTTTTTTGCAGTAACAGTAACAAATATTATGCACTTTTGTTCTTCGTTACTTTTTTCAGCAGTGCGTGATTTATAACCATCATTGGTTGTCCTGTTGCGGCTCAGTCGTTCATTAGACGAACCATTTCCATGACTTGCCAATTTAATATTCTATGCTTGTATGCACTTCCTTTTCTTGTTTATGTTTACTCTCAGTCTCAGCATTTCACGTGGTTTGTGATTTAGTAAGTTGCGCGGATTTAGTTGGCATAATGGAAGACGAGAAGGAATTGGATTCAACTGATAATGAAGTAGGCCAAGTAGCTTGGATGGAACAACTGAAGGAATATTTTAACGTAGTTAAAGAAGAAGGAACGAAATAATGCCTGAATGGGATGCAATGAATTATCTACAACACCCAATTTTTATTCCGCAGTCATCCGATGAATTAGCAAATGCTGTCATTTACAACTGAATTGAACAACATACATAACTGAATGGACATTAGCTTGTGTTTGTCTATTTTTTTAAATATTAGCGAAATAATATTTAAAATTGAATGATGTGTGAACTTGTACAGAAGAAGCATCCAAACGTCTTGGAGAAAGTAAAAGAATGCCGGAAGAGGAAGGCTGCAAAGAAAGCCTGCATACAAGCAACTGTGACAACATGCACCCCACTTGGTAGTTCTGTAATTTCGCAGGCGAAGGTCGATCAGCTGGTGACAAACTTCATTGTCGAGTATATGGAGCCAATGAGCATCGTCGAATCTCAACCCTTCATCGAGCTTGTTCAAGGTCTCCAGCCAACAAAGAAAGTTTTGTCGAGAAAAACTCTTAATGGTTAGTTCAATCTCTATAATATAATATGATTTTTTGTGGTTCGTCATATTAATTGCTTATTTTGAACGATGTCAAATAAAAGTAAATACAATCCTTAAGACCCTACTAAATTTGCAACACGCGTCTTTCTGTTTACAGATAAGTTGGACAAACTCGCGGACACGATGAAGGAAAGCATCTGTGCAGCGCTCAGCAAAGTCGATCATGTGTGCACAACAGCGGATATCTGGTCATCCAACAACAGGAGCTTTCTAGGCATTACAGCGCACTGGATTGATCCTGATACTCTGGAAAGACGTTCAGCGGCTTTGTGCTGTGAGCGCATGAAAGGGCGTCACACGTATGATTGCATTGCTGTTAGGTTAAATGCTGTACATACGGCGTATCGTATTAACCACAAAGTACTGATGACAGTAACTGACAATGGTTCGAACTTTGTTAAAGCATTTAAAGAGTTTGCAAATGATGGTAGTGTAGTTAGTGATGATGATGATAACAATGTTGCCTTTGTTGATGTTGATGCATTGCTAAGTGAACCAGAGCATGATGAGGACAGTGACTTATATTTACCCCCTCATCAGCGTTGTGCTGCTCACACATTGAATTTGATTGCTAGTCATGATATAGAAAGTGCAAATAGTGATGCTGTTTACAAAAAACTCTCTCGGTCAACAATGGTCAAGTGTTCTGCATTGTGGAACAAGACTTCACGTAGCACACAATTTGCAGATATTGTGCGTGATAAGTTTCACACTTCCTTCATTGTGCCTAATGCTACACGTTGGAACTCGTACTTTAATGCAGTTGACAAAGTGAGACAGGTCCTTGAAAAACAATCTGAGGACAATATTGCTGAAGATTTTGTAGCTCTTGAGGTCCCACAATTTCGTCCCAATGACATCCTTTTCTTGAAAGAGTATTGTTGTGTTAAGCTGCATTGGACATACTCCAAGCAGAAACGAAGTGTTTTATTGGGTTTTTGTTGCCAACGTTAATGTCATTGCGTACAAAGTTACTAACAGTAAAACCAACTTTGAAGTTGGCAGCGCCTTTGCTTACTGCTGTTTTATCCGGCCTTGATAAGCGATTTCAAGGTTATGATGAACGTCATGATTTGATCATAGCTAGTGTCACATTGCCTCAGTTTCGTATGAGATGGATTGACAATAACGACAGGAAAAAGATTGCTCGTAGTTTACTGTATGACGAGTTGCAGGCTGCTAAACAGCAGCAGCAGGTCACTGAGCCTGATACTGATGACAAGCATGAGTCAGGTACTGTGTCAGATGATGAATTTTTTTCGTTTGCAAATGAACCACGTGACAACGTTGATGCTGCTGCAGAACTTGATTTGTATTTAAGTGATAATTCTCGTGAAATTGCATGCATGCAAAAATACCCGGGTATTTACCCATTACCTTCAAGTGCACCGGTTGAGAGACTTTTCAGTTTAGGGGGTCAGATACTGGTTCCTAGAAGGAATCGGATGACTGATGAGCATTTTGAGCGTCAACTGCTTTTGCGGGCAAATAAATTATTTTCTGCCAAATAAGTGATTTATGTACATTGCAAATTTAGGTGCTACCAATTACATGTATCTTATTGACTATCTTTCTATGTATTGTATATGTATATTCATGAGCGCACCTATTAATGTTGATATTGAGAATATATGAAAGAGTACTTGCAGCGTCTGTTTACATGTATGCTGTACTGTAGTAACAAAAAAGTAACTTTGTTACTTTTTATAGTAACAAGTAACAGTAACAGATTACTTTTCTATAAATATAACAAGTAACAGTAACAAATTACTTTTTCCCAAAGTAACAAGTAAAAATAACAAATTACTTTCAATGAGTAACAAGCACAACACTGTGTAAATGATATAATTTCTGGTATACGAAGAAACAGGTTTGCTTATTGAAAACGCAATAGACGTCAATAGTTACGTCAAAAATCGTAGATATGGTCAAACATATCGACTCTATTATGTCACTGCTGGAGTCTCCCTGAGAACAACATTCCAACCAAGAAAAGAAATTAAATAATGGTTTGTTTGTTTCATTATGCCTCGATAGACTGAGAGCATAGAACCGATATATATATATATATATATATAGATATATATAGATCATAATTTTTACAATATTTTATAGATTCTACCGAAGCATTCCAAAACCTGGAATTAAATTGCCACTATATGAACAAACCCAACAAGATTGAGAAAATTATCGAGATAGAAAAACTCATGATATTAATAAACGACGCTGAACGTCTAAGTAAAATAAATGTAAACCCTTCTATTGCCATTGAACTTCAAGCTGAAGCCAAGAAACAACGTGGTAGTATCCAAAGCAAGCTGCTCACCGATGAAATGAAAGAAGCGGCAAAACAACTGAGGGAAACTAAGGACATTGTAGTACGACGTGTTTACAAACAGAGAAGAAAATAAATTCATAACCACGGTCTACTTAAAAACCAACGAACAAAGGACTCTGTCTCATTAGGATTGGTGAGTGCACTAGAACATTCCTAACCAGTACGATCAGTGCCAGGGCGTATACTCACTCATAAAAAGCCGAAGATAGAGAAAAAGAACTCCAACGAGTAACCAATATATATATATATATATATATATATATATATATATATATATATATATATATATATATATATGAGATTGTGTTGTAGTCATTTTGAACACTTATTTATTCCCTATAACGAGTTTAATTAACTGAATATTTCAAATACAGGCGTGTTCCCTTGGTTTAAAATTAAAGACCTCCCTTGTGACAGAAACGATCCAACATATCAGAAAAATTTAAACATAAGGGCAGAAATGTTAAACACAGCCCATATTTCAACAAACAAATCTTTGGCATTATATCGACATAATACTGGAAAATCATAACCAACCAATAATACACTATTCCAAATTTGTTTTCCTGCTATTAATATGTTCTGAAAAAACTGAAAATTATGTTAATAATTTTCAAACAAATTTCTGAAATGGTTGGAGTACAAAGCACAGATTCAAACGTGTGGAGCCACTCTGATGGATCCCAACTTCAATTTGTGAGTTATAATTCACACTGTGTATTCAATACAGACTATAATTATTGCATATATCAAACTATTCTTATATACAAATACAACTAACAACTATTATAACATTATTTTCACACTGCGTAATGGTGCAAGGGACAAGTGAGAAGTGGAGCTTTCCAAAAGGAAAGATAGAAAAAGTTGAGGAGCCCGTTGATTGTGCGATACGTGAGGTTAGGCACGCCTTCCTTTTTTTATTTAAAAAATTAAACTCTGAGAAAGACAGAATCTGTTACACATTCTTATTTTTTATATTATTTATAGCAAAAGTTTTAAATATAATTAATTAATATTTTAATATTAATTGTTTTTTTTGTAATGGAAATCATGAAACATTGAACCTTTTAAACAATGTGAATGATATAATTTCAGGTGTACGAAGAAACAGGTTTTCTCATTGACAACGCAATAGACGTCAATAGTTACGTGAAAAATCGTAGATATGACCGAACATATCGACTCTATTATGTCACTGGAGTCGAGTCTCACTGAGACCAACATTTCAGCCAAGAAAAAGAAATAAAATAATGGTTTGTTTCTGCATTTATCATTGCCTCAATAGATTTAGAGCGTAGAACAGTTAAATATATTTCCAAGAGATTGCAGTCATTTTAAATATTTATTTATTCCAAATAACATCGACGAGTTTAATTTAACTAAATATTTCAATTATAGGCGTACTGAAAGAAGCCAATAGGGCGGATTACTTTTCCGGAATTAGTTTTCCAGTTATTAAAATGTTTCGAAAACACTGAGGATATGTTGGTAACTTGCATAAAAATTACCAAAAATGGTTGGAATACAAATCTCAGATTCTGACGAGTGGATTTGTGACGATCGCCCACTTCAGTCCGTAAGTCATTAAACACTGTATGTATTGTATGCAGAAAAGAATCACCGCATATTTCAAAATACCCTATTTAGCAATCTAAATATTTACATTATTATGCAACGATACAAAGAAGGACGTGACGTGGGAAGTTCTAAAAAAATTGAAGGCGAAAAGGCTGCCGATTGTACAGCACGTTACCTACAACTTGATTTATATTTTTTTGTATAATTTTGAAAAAAATTTGAAATATAATCAATATTTTAACACAAACATTATTTATGAAACATTTTAAATCCAATCAATTAATAATACGCATTATGTTGCTAGAGTAGCCATGCAAAAGCAAACACGGTTTGAATAACCAAAAAAGACATTGTTCAACAAAAATCATCTTTTTTCCAAATTGTGTCAAATCAATAACAACAAATTTGTTTATTCAGTTGATCCAACGGGAAGCAAAATATATGATAGACATGGTTTCAATTTCAAAGGCCTCCTTCAACGCTTGTAGCCAATAACATAGAAGCATGCACCAAAAAAGTGATGCCTACAGAAGACAAGTTAACAAAAAACTTTTTTCTGAGGAAAATGGAACAGATTGCAAAATATTTCAAAAGGTGGAACCCTCAACAACTATGGAAGTACCTGAGACTGGGGAGGCAATCGCACGCAGCTGACAATTAATGCTGTGGACAGCGACAAAATGAAATAGCACATGCTGATGGTTTTGTCTGCATGCTCTCAAATTTTAGTCAGAAAAACATTGAATGCTTGGATTCTTGGATATAAATTATAACAATAAAGAACAACGAGACAGGATATTGTTTGAATTTAAGATATGATTGTAACTGAATTTAAAACATTCCGTTCATTACTGCTCAATAATTACTGCAAAGTTTTCAAATTATTTTGTGCATGTGTTCAAAAAATATTCAAACTTATTTAGCAAATTGTTATTTTCATTTACTTAAATTGTGCTTAACATTTCCAATCAACATTGGAACAACAGCTTGAAATCAGTTCACAATGTTTCTGATTGGCTTAGAAGTGATAACCTTAAACTCCATTGCAGATCTCTCAGTACAACTATTCAACTTAATCTTAATCTAGTAGGTGGTTAATTTATACATGTTTTCAAGCTTGCATGCTTACCATGGTACAAAGTATTTTTTTTACAAAATAAAAAAAATCAAAAGAAAAAAAATTAACATTAAAAAATAAGCAAAAAAATTAACAACAATATAAGCCGAAACAACACCACCAACAACAACGAAACAACATCAACAAAAAAAGCAATAAAACAACAACATACAAACAACAACCAAACAACAAAATAACAACACCATCATCGGTCAAACTGCCACAAATGAAAAAAAACAAAGAGCAGCCGGTGAAGTATTGGCAGAAGTAACAAAGAATGATGTTAGGATCTTTACAGATGGCTCGGCGGATCCCATCAAAAAGGAAGGAGGGACAGCAATGATATCAAATAGGAAACCCAACCCCGTACATAGAATGAAGTCTCAGGCAGAGTTAAGGGCACTGTTCTGATGCGAAAAGAAGGGCCATGGAGTTGGCCCCTGAATGGCTGCGGGTATATAGTGAATGGGAGTCTGCCTCAATATGCTCAAAGATGGCAATGATAAAGACCCAGATAGCATAAAACTAACAGACACACCGAGAGAGCTGGAATCACAGGGAAAAAGAGGGACTGGGGCATGAATTGCAGGTCACTGCGGGATAGACGCCAATGAAGAGGTGGACAAAGATGCCAACAAAAGCAGACTTCTCCAACAAAGTAGCATAATCAGCGACCAAGGAATGAAAAGAATGATAAAAAAAATGTTTTCAACGAAGGGACCGCTACAGCATGAAATATGCAGAAAGGTATATACGAAAGAAATCAGCCTATGCGAAGAAAAATTGGACAAAAAAACGAGAACTGAACTAAGTCGTTTATGGTTTGAATGACAGGCCTTATCACTGTTAAGAAGAAAGTATGGACTAGATAATGAGCTCGCTAAATCCCCGAACGCCCATTGGTGGCAGCAGAAAGGATGTTACGGACATACCGGAGAAAAATTAGTCTAAAAGCAACTAAAACTACAACACCGTCAACATGACAACATCGTCAACATGACAACAACCAAACAACATAATAACAACATCATCAACATAACAGCAACAACTACAACAACACACAAACTAAACACACAATAACAACAACACACAAACAAAACACCCAACAACAACACAAACAACCAAATCAACTGACGGGATGTAGAACTGAACTGATGCCGGCCACAAAAAACGTCAGGCTGTTGCTTCCCGCAATTTCTTTAAACCTTAAGATCAGATGATGACGAAGGTGATGATGATGACGACGATTGTGACGCAAGTAACGACGACGCGACGTTGTTGTTGATGATGATGATGCAGATAAGAGGATGAATGGCCACGATCAATTTCCTAATTAAAACTAACACCATCAAAAAACTGATTCGTAAACACCACCACCACCACCACCACCATCGTCATCATCATTGTTATCATAGCGGTATCGCAATCATAATCATCAAAACACATCACCATCATCATCATCACCATCATGACAACAGCATCATCATCATCATCATCACCATCTCACTCACTTGGTCCTCATTTGAACAATGGCGCTCTGCGGGAGGGTGCCGTTGATGACTGATATGTTTACGCCTGTCATAAAGAAATGGTGGATGACGTCATGGTGATGTCATAATCCAACACGGCAAATATTTTATCATGATGATGATGATGATGACGTCACGACGATGTCACGGTCCAACGGTAAAAATGAGTCATGATGATGATGATGCCACGGTGATGTCGCAGTTCAACGGTAAATATCATGCCATAATGAGATGATGACGTCATTATGATGTCTGATCCAACGGCGAATATAACGTCATGATGATGACGTTATATTGATGATGTCATAATCATCATCGACATCATCATCATTAACAACAACATCGCTAACATTATCATAATCATTACTGCACTATCATCATCACAACATCATCATTTTCATCACGACAAACATCATCATTGTCATCCTCATCATCATCCGGAACATCATCGTCAACATTATCACCTGCTTTCTCAAAGACCTGTGAGTCTTGCAGTACACAAGTTATGCCCCCGCCACCCTTGACGAAAAATATAAATGATAATTATTGTGTTGCCCAATGGCAAACTGATTACCCCTTAACAACCATCATCATCATTATCGCGATCATCATAATTGTAACTATCAAAAAACGTCACCAACCTCATCGGGGCCACCACTATCATCACCGCTATAACTACCCTCATCATCACCACCATCACCACCACCATCACTACCAACCTCCTTCCTACTCCACTTCTCCACCCTGAACTTTCCCTCCTCATCTTCTGCCTCTAAAGCCCGGCACAGTTCATGCTTGCAAACAAATTATTATATATTATTATTATTTATATATTATTATTATTGTTGTTGTTCATATTATTGTTGTCAGGGACCTTTCGAATACTACGCAGCACAACAACAAAAAGAAACATTCCCCCCTATCCCCCCTCCGTGACGAAAGACTGGCACCCCCGCCCGTCACGCAATAAAAAAAAATACAACTTTTGCTTTGAAACTTTATATACAAACAATTTTCATCCATAAAAAGCTTCAATTTCAACTTCTTAATACTAATTTTTCTGTTCAAAAAATATCAAAACGGTGTTTTATAAAAATGTCAGTTCATTAAAAATGAATTCGAACTATTTCTTAAAGTTTAATTTTAATTCGAAATTTAATTTGTAATTTAATTTGAAATTTAATTTTAAAATGTCATATCATTAAAAATGAATTCAAACTATTTTTTAAAGTTTAATTTTAATTTGAAATTTAATTTGAAATTTAATTTGAAATTTAATTTTAATAGTCAACCGAGCAAATGTATAAATTTTTTAAAGTTTAATTTTAATTTGAAATTTAATTTGAAATTTAATTTGAAATTTAATTTTAATAGTCAACCGAGCAAATGTTCGCACTGTTATAAAAGCTTTAACGAAGTCAGAAGCCACTCCTAGAGTTGTATGCAGGCACTATTTAAGAGCTGAACAACAATGCATGCAAGTACACCTCGAACGTCGTTCGCCGATAGACGGTGTTGTAGTGTCTCGAAATGTTCTCGTAAACGGTGATAATTTAAACAAAGCTGGAGTGACGTAACTAATTTCCTGTTGCCGTGTGGCAAGAATGCAAAAAGATGTAAGGGTCGTAAGGTGCACGAACGATCAGGCAAACTGGTCAGTTGACAGGTTCAGAAGATCCAACAACGAACCAACAAACAGCTTTTGTCGAATTTTGAAACCAACTTGAGCTGAGATATTTGCTCCGAAGAACTCAGGAATTTTCCATAGATTTCATTCGAGAAATAATAATAATAATAATTCGCAAAAGGCAGGCCAAATGAGATGGGATGCAAACATTTATGAAACAAATTAGATGTTCGTTAAGAGCTGGTTAATTAATCTACCGATCGAATTTTCAGAAAATTATTTCATCACAGACCGCCAACACCCTTATTATTGAGACTTGAAAGTGTCCAATAAATCCGATTAGGCAACTACGGTACACTTTTAGCATGACGTCATGACGGAAATAATAACGTTAAGTGAAGCAATAAAAAGCTAACGAGGGTTGACAACAACGATGATGATAGTGATAATAAGATACGATGGTGACAAGAATGATAACGATGGTGTAACGCTGATGGCTCAACAGTTAGAGGCGCCTGGTGCGGCAGTGACTGGGTTCGAATGCAAAGAGATCCCCGCCTATCCTATGCAATGTGTGTGATGCGTGGTTTTCACGCTAATTCATATACGCTGTGTGTGTTTGTCGGATGGATGGATGGTTGGATGGATTGAGGAATGGATGG